TTTTCCAGTCCTCTGGGACCTGACCTGAGTGCCACGAGCACTCAAACAGCCGTGCCAGTGGTTCTGCTATGACACCGGCCAATTCCTTCAGTACCCCGGGATGCTGCTCATCTGGGCTTGCTGACTTGAACACGTCCAGTCCATCCAAGTGACTGCACCAAGTCAGCATCAACAGTTGGTGGGCTGGTGTTCCTCTGATGTCCATCTGAGAACCCATTAGGAGACTTATCTTGAGCCCTGTTCAGGAACATTGAGGCAAAAAACTCATTGAATAGCTCAGCCTTGTCCCCGCTGTCTGTCGCTAATTACTCCTTGTTCAGTAGGGGTCCTATGCTGCCCCGTGCCTTCCTTTTACTCCCTACATACCTAAAAAAAGACTTTTTGTTGTCTTTAATTTGTGCTGCCAGCCTCAGCTCTGTAGTTGCTTTGGCCTTTTTAACCACCTCTCTGCAAGTGCAGGCCAAGTAGGTATACTATTCCTTGGTAGCTTCCACCTGCTTCCACTGCCTATATGCCTCTTTTTTGCCCTTAGGCTCCCCTGGATTTCACTGTTTAGCCAAGGAAGTTTTTTCGCTCCTTTCCCCCTTTTCTCTCATACTGGGATGGTCTTCCTCTGCGCCTGAAGGATCACTTCCTTTAGGAACAACCACCCTTCCTGGACTCCCATCTCACCAATACACCTATCATTCAGTGCATCATTGACTAGACTCCTAAGGGCACTGAAGTTAACCTTCCTAAAGTCCATCACTTCCACCCTACCAGTTATCTTACCCACCCTATGCCGTATGGTGAATTGGATTGATTGGTGGTCACTGTCCCCAAGGTGACTGCGAATCTGCAGCTCCCGTACTAGGTCCTCCCCTGTAGCCAACCTTTCTGTGACTTAATACAAATAAGCAATGCAATTTTTAAAACACATTTTGCACATCATATGCCAATATTTTGCTCCAGTGCTCTAGTGGAGGTGAGATAGTACTGGATAAAAACATCGCCTTTCTGCTGAAAGTCAACACTAGCCTTTTTTCAATTTCTGTTCTTTAAAAACTTTTGTATCCTTTACGTCAGACCATTTATTTTAAACATCCAACTTTTTCCTATATGGCTTATCATATGTATTATAGTAGCCCCCAGAATTTTCTAGACATTGTACAGCCTTACAGAAAGACAGTGACCTTGCCCCACAGTGTCTTCCAAGACGGAGTGAATCGTGGGACTTAGACACACATTACATTTGTTGTGTTGTATCAGCTGCTTCAGCACAACAAAAAGCAATTGTCCTCACATTCATGCTCTCTGTCACACTAAAATAATTGCTGATCTACCATAAAAATTGTAAGTCCACAACAAATAAACAGGAACTTCTTTGTGCAGGAAGCTTTTCTTCAGCAATTTTAATGTGTGTTCAAACTTTTAGCATTACAAAAATAATGTGCGTTTAAAGCCCTGCACTCATGCTGTATTTTCTCACGTACCACGTACCTCCAAATAAGACACGCACCCAGTTTTTGGAAGGTAGAATGTAGAGGAAAAGATTTTTCCAGAACAGTGGCCACCTATGTGACACAGAGGAAGTCCTCCTGGTAACAGAGGCTGTCCAGAAAGTGTGGTATCCCAGGAAAGTCTGGATGAGGCAGCAACTTTCTGGTGTGGCAGTACTGCAGCAAGGCTAGACCCCAGACCCTTCCAGAGTCAGCAGCAAGAGGGTTTTTTTACTGCTACTAATTTTTTATATACGCTCCAGTAAATAATGAAGTGTTGTTTGCACATCACAAGCTTCATCAAAATACTGCAGACTGAATGCAGCAGCTCATTCACCCTCAGCCAGATCAGTGGCTTTTCAGCTCTAAGCTACTGCCTCACCAGCAGCTGTGAGAAGATTAACACTAGACTCTACCTGTGCTGCTTGCAACAAGTGACAGGCATTTTCACTGCTATTTTAGCACTGTCTGTTTGCTTCTTTTCTTCCATATTCCCTGTTCTGCTCCAGTAAAGAAAAATCAGCTTCCCCACTTAAGAGACACATGCCAATTCTGGAGGGCTGATTTTGGGGGGAAAAGTACATGTGGTATAAAAGTAAGTACAGTAATTGTTCAGTGACCTGTGCTGTTGCAGCAATGCCCTGATGTTCAGTAGTGTTTGTAAGTGACTTAGAAAGTAAAAATATGATCTGTTACAACATACAACTGAATATACATTATAAAACAACAAAATGAAGAGAACAGTAAAGGAGCAAAAAGTTTATTTTACTGAATAAAATGAGCAGCTATAAAGGTCCTTCTGTCCATATTTTAAATAAGGTTTAGGTTTCAAGTTCTGTGTTTTCTAACCAAATCATATTTTTCTGTAAGGCAGTGGTTCTCAACAGGTTTAGTCTCAAGCACACATCATTAGACTCAAAGCAGTCCTCAGAAAATTCCAGCTCTTAGCTTTCACTCATTTGTGAGTACCAAAAAATAAGAAGAGAAATTCTTCTGTGGTGAAGAACACACCAGTCAGAATGTTTTTAACACTGTAGATTTGTATTTAAAATCTCTGCGTTTATCTTGTGAATCATGTTTGCACACCTAACAATACTAACATTTCATTATTCTTGAAAGTATCTTAAGGCACCGCAGGTGCCATAGCACCCTGGTTGAGAATCATTGCTGTAAAGGTTTGAACCTACAGGTTATTAAAAACTCTGATCCTTTCAGTAAATCACTCAAATATATACTCAACTTTGAATCTTTGAATTATTCCAACTGATATCTCATGCTCAACGTGAAATGCTTGCTGAAATGTTTTGATGAATCAGGGAGAGAGTTTAAGAATCAAGGCCAAAATTCTCTAATAATCTTTTCTAATAGTCTGGCAGAAACTTTATTCGGTGAGTTTTTGATAGACCTGACACATCATGTCTTACTTACCAGTCAAATTAATTTTGAGGCACCAAAGAGCTCATTTCAAGCTATCATTAATTTTTTATCTTTTCCTGGATTAATATTTCATCATATTTTTAAATTTTTAAAGTTCTTCATATATATATATCTATATATATCTATCTATAGATATATATAGATATATATATAATATAGATTTATTACATTCACTTTCTTTTCAGGTGATTTCCGGCATTATGGCACACACTACAATAATTCCTTTTCTTCTAACTTGCAACCTACTAACTCTAGTATATCTCTTTTTACGATTGATGGTAGCAGTCTCATGACCAATTTAAAGTCAGTTTCTAGAATGAATGGATTTCTTTCTTCAATAAATGGTAAGAATCCTGCTTTACTAGCTATAACTTTCTGGTACATCAGACATAATATCACAAAAGTAATTCAAAGTTTATTATTTATTCATTAGTCATACCGCACTATAATATCAAAGCACCAGTAGTCTAGCATGTCTTTACATAACTGGTTGCTTTTTTCTGTTCCTCATTTTAGGTGCTGTTCCTGCCACTAGACGAAAACAAAACTTTGATAATGCTGAAACTAAACGTAGAGCTCTTTTAGAACAAAGACGGCAAGCTATAGCAACTACAATATGGAGACCCACTCATCCTGCACAGGTATATATATCAGTTACTGGGATATTCAGGTAAAAATGTCAGTCAAATCCAGTTGTTACGAGACATCAACTCCTATTGCTATGAACTTCCTAGAGAAATAATGGAAAATAAAAACTGGAGTCAAATTGTTTATTTCCAAAGCGGGAATTTGATTCTGTGACTAACCAAATTATTTTAGGCACCTTTTGTTTAATGAATAGTGCATGAGACAATTGCTCACAAGTATGTGAAGCAATTGCTTGTGGTTCTATTATTGTCCTGCTTCATTCTGGTTTTGCATTCTGCTTGCTTTCCTGCATCTTGGGTGTGTCTACTGCCCATTTAGTTTGCTACTTGCATAATAAAGTACTAACTAAGTGTGCAGTAACTAGAGTTACTGTGGAGTAACACCAGCGCATGGTTTTTTTGTGATGCTTACTACACATTAGCCCAATAACACTGCAGAGTAGACATTAACATGAGTTTAAACTGCCATGCTACTGCTCAGTGTTATTAGGATAATGCACAGTAAGCGTCTCATGTAGACACACCCCTTGTGTAACTTTTTTGTGTACCCATGCCTTAGCTAACATAATTAGGATGAGCTAACAAACTTGGGGCCATACTTCTCTTACTAATGTATGTTTCTTAAGTCCTTTATAAAACTATTACTACAAAAGATGTGCGAGTCTTCCTCCTTGGTGCTGTTCTGTTACTTAGTTTTAATCCTAAAATGACAGCATATTACAAAAATAGATGGATAAAGAAATTTTCAGGGATTTAAACAGGATGGAATAGTATAAGGTGCCTAAATCTATTTAGGTGTCTAGAAGGTGTAGTCTGGCTTCTGGTACTCTTCAGCCAGAGACTAGTCAGACCATTTATTAAGTGAACGTAAAGCTAGGTACAGACATTCAAAAAGTCTGAGGGAGAATCGATCAAACCTTTGCAGGTTTCTCTAAACTGTGTACAGTGGATCAGTATGAACAGAAGACACATTCTTCCTTTGGTGTGGTCGGGGCACACTGATGCCTGCATTGGTCAGCATGCTGGAGATGGCAGAGAACAGCCAAATGCAGCTGATGGGCAGGACATACTAGACTGGCTGCTGGACACACGCTCCCAACCCCTTGCTGTCAGCCACAGGGAAATGGGAAGCCAGCATAGAATCTCTCCCCAGCCCTGCCTCCCTCCAGCTGCAGGCTGCCAGTGTGGACCTGCCGCCCTCAAACCCAGCCAGAACAGTTGAGGGGGCATGCAATGGGGGCTTTCCCTCCCTCCCCCTCATGCCACACGTCCTCCTGGCTGTTCTGGTTGGGTCTTGGAGGGGGGCAGGGTGGGGACCTGGCAGGGGACCTCCACTTTCCCCTTCCTGCCACTCCGGCCACTAACAGCTAGCAGAGGGCAGGCCTAAGGAAAGCTGTGCTGGGCCAGCAGCTAATTGACCCAGCATGGCTTTTCCCCCAGCCCTGTCCCCCACTAGCTGTTAGCACCTGGGAGGTGGAGGGCAAAGCAGGGGAAAATGGAGGAAAGCGGAAAATTATTATTATTATTATCATTATATACTAGCAAACATAAAATGTACTAAATTTAGTTACTTTCTAGTTATTATTATTTACTGCTTATGATTAATTTAAAAGAAGGCCTTGTATTTTCAAGGAAAAGCTACTAATTTTCAGATTAGATTACATCAGCAGTGAAAAATAACAAGTGTTTGGAAAAATATGAAGGAAAGTCCACTGACGAGTGTGAAAGCCCCAAAGTTTCTGAAAGCACTACAATAATTTCTCTAAACATCTGCATTATATTTACTTACTTTTACCTTTTAACTGTTTTATTTATCCTTATAACAGATGTAATATTTTTGTGTAAGTTTGGCTGCTATCAACCCATCACCAAAATGACATAAACTAGAAGTTACTTTATATCTTTGTAGAAAGCATACAGCTGTTTTTGTTTATTCCAAACATAAATATTTCTTTTGGAGAACAACTTTTTGTTTTCAACACTGTGTGTCTAAGGTATCGAGTTAAACATAGCAAATTAAATATTACTGTAGCTGTTGCAATTTAGTGGTAGTGACCTCGCAGTGTAGTTTGATTTAGTTTAATGTAATCTAATATGTCTTACATCATAAATGTTGTTGTTGGCACAAGGATACATGTAATTGATTTAAAAGTTAACAACATTAGAGCTATAGTCATAGAATAAAGTATATGTATATGGTCAGATGTTCAATTAGGGCTTTTAAATAAAGTGTCTAATTGAAGCTGATCTGCTTGTTATGGTGTAAAAATTTTGGTGTTAATATAAATAATTAATCGTCAAAGAATTTACAGAGTGTACAGTCAGGAAGGGGACAGACATACCAAATAATATCAATAATAATCAACACAGGTCGTGTCTACACAAGACTGACTGCACAGTCATTACTGAGCAGTCATTTAGTACTTGTTTGGTACTTCTATAAACAAGTACTAAATGACTGTACAGTAACCTGACTTCCTGCACAGCAGCTTCAATGAACAGCTTTTTTGTGACTCTGACTACTCAATAGCCCAAGACTACTGCGCAATAGCATTGCATCACTGTTGCTGTCACGCGACACTACTACGTGATATTCTCAGGCTACAGCACATTCAGTATCTCGTGTAGATATGGCCATGGTTTTGGTTTTTTGTTCTTTTTTAATTGTCTGGCAAAGTGACAGCAGTTTCTTATTTGTAATATAGTGCCATTACAGTATCCAGGTAGCTGTTTAAATAAGTTTCAGATTAATGCTTTTATTTTGGCCTCTTGAAGGCTCAGATCAAGTGTATCTAACACTGTATTCATTCAGCATAAAAATCAGTGCTGGGAAGACCATTCTAAGGCTTATATCTGACTTATTCCTGCTCCTGTTTTGTGGAACTAAGGTTGTACACAGGCTCCTTACAGGTACTTTTCCTGATGGTGCCATTGACAAAGTAGCTATAGTGGAAATAAAAGATATCCAGTGAATGTGATTATAGGTAAGGGGAAGTTTTCATGTAATGTGAGGCACCACTGACCAAAGTTATTTAGCCCAGATCTGGGAAGAGTTAAAAGAAACATCAAAATTCTTTTGTTTTTCAAGGAATTTTAAACCTACCATGTTGCTTCTCAGATTTCTGTAATCACTGCTGAAAGTGTTAAAATGAATCTAAACAAAAAAGACCTAGGCTCTCTTCCTACTGTAATGGTTCTCCACATTCCTCCAATGCAGGCAGTTGCTTACCAGTCCCAATATAGTCATAGGTATATAACAGTGTTAGGCCTTTGAAAAACTCTGTTAACCCCTAATATATTTCAAAATACGTGCAGTAAATTTTTTAACTCAAAATCATACAACTTGTATACTCTTGTAAATATAAAGTATCTTACTTAAATAAAACATTAGAAGTTACAGAAGTATTAAAATTATTTTAAATACTATGCTGATGAAATAATTGTTTTTTACAGAATTCAGTACATACAGTCCAGCTAAGTCCTTTTCAGTATACATTTGAGCCAGTGCAAGCAGTGAGTGGCATCCCTAATTCTGATGAAGGTATAGTAATATGCTTCAGTTAAATTCTTATTAGAAAAAGATTATACATTATACATCAGCTATCGTCTTGTATCATTAATGATTCTAAATCAAAAACTATGTTATCTTGGCTTGAAATAAAGTGTTTTCTGTAGAAGAGTAATATACAGCATATCATAACAGTTACAACTGATTGTTGTCTTTACAAAAGCATTATGAAATTGAATTAAATCTCTATTACTTTAGTGTTGTGCCTTTTAAGTATGTGATACATTCAAGAACAAAGTGGGCATGTGTACACATGTATTTACTCTGCAGTAAGTGGTTTTCAGACTGGCGTCTACACATGTAGGTGTTACAGCTCAGTAACGCTGTGTGTGCATCGACTTAGGAGTAAAGTTACTCCCAAGTCAGTCCACACACACGGTGTTACTGCACAGTAAGACATATGCTCATGCCTTACTGTGCAGTAACCATGCAGGTATAGATTCATAGATTCATAGAAGTAGGGTCAGAAGGGACCTTGCAGATCATCAGGTCTGATCCCCTTCCCATAGAGGAGGAGGATCACCTCCTGGGCTCTGCTTGAGATGCATGTGTGAATGCATGACAAGGTACGGTTGGCCCTACTGACCATGACCTCGCATTGTCGGCCCATGTTCATCTTGGAGTTAATAATGACTCCAAGATTTCTTTCTGCTACCATGCTCTCGAGAAGGGAGTTTCCCAGCTTATAAGTGTGCTGGTGGTTCCTACTCCTCAAGTGCAGCACCCTGCACTTGTAAGTATTTGAAACCCATCCTGTTTTCATTAGCCCACCCGTGTAAGCTGTCCAGATCCTGCTGTAATCTGTCCTTCCCTACTAGCATGCCCACCTCACCCCAAATCTTGGTATCATCAGCAAATTTAAACTAGCTGCTTTTCACCCCGGCATCCAAGTCACTAATAAAGAAATTGAACATTGCGGGACCAAGAACCAAGCCCTGGGGAACTCCACTACCCACTTCTGTCCAGGTCAAAAAATACCTGTCTGCCACTACCCTCTGAGTACGACCCTTCAGCCAATTTGCAATCCATCTGACTGTGTAGGCATCAATGCCACAGTCACCTAGTTTTTAATCAGAATGGGGTGGGAGACAGTGTCAAAGGCCTTGCTGAAGTCCAGAAAGACTACATCCACCGTGACACCTGTGTCCAATGCTTTTGTGACCTGATTGTAGAAGGCAATCAGGTTGGTCTGACAGGACCTGCCCCTAATGAAACCATGCTGGTTGCCCTTGAGCATCATCCCTGCTGCTGGCCCATCACAGATGTGCTCCTTGATAATCTCAAAGAGTTTTCCCAGGATTGAAGTAAGACTAATGGGCCAATAGTTGCCCGGGTCCTCCCTCTTCCCTTTTTTAAAGATGGGGATCACGTTGGCTTTCTTCCAGTCATCTGGCACCTGGCCAGAGCACCATGAGTGCTCGTAAAGCCGTGCCAGGGCCCCTGCAATAACCCCTGCCAATTTCCTCAACACCCTGGGGTGGAGAGCATCTGGACCTGCTGCTTTGAACACGTCCAGCCCCTCCAGAAGCTCTCTAACCCAGTCCTCCCCAACCTTAGGCCTGGCAGCATTTCTCCTGAATCCGTCTGGAATCTTGGTCAGGGAGTCCTGGTCCCTGCACAAGAAAATAAAGGCGAAGAATTTGTTAGAGAGGTCTGCTTTCTCCTCTGGTTCAACCACCAGATTGCCAAGCATATCCTGCAGGGGCCCCACATTACCCGGTGCCTTCTTCATTCCCCTAAATATTTAAAAAGGACTTTTTATTATCTTTGATCCTTGATGCTAGCCCTAGCTCAGTATCTGCCTTAGCTTTTGTAACAACCCCCTTACAGACCCAAGTAGTGGAGGCATACTCCTCTTTGGTGATAGCCCCTCCCTTCCACCGGGTGTACTCCTCCTTTTTGGCAATCAGGCATTCACGAATGCCGTTGGTGAGCCAGGGGGGCTTTTGAGCACTATTGTCCCCCTTGCTTCTTGTTGGGATTGTCACCCCTTGGGCTCTGGGTATTGTCTCCTTAAGGAATGACCACTCAGCTTGGGCACTGAGTTCCTCTACTTTGAAGGACCCCAGCGCCTGTCCCACTAACCTCCTCAACTCATTGAAGTTGGCCCTTTT